ATGGGCTTCAGCGTTCAGACTCAAGTTGAAATCTGTTCAACTTTAACACCGCTGGCCTCGGAAAATGAGTTTATGAGTTCTCTCAGCGCTGTAAACGCGTTTGGTGGACACAAGTCCAGCTCAGACAATTCTAATCACATTTTAAAGGATATCGACTGATTATCGTTATCGCCAAAATCCCCAAACATATTGAGATATTATTTTTGCCCATATCGCCCACCCCTAACTCACACACACACACACACACACACACACACACACACACACACACACACACACACACACACACACTCACACACACACACACACACACACACACACACACACTCACCTCCAGCGCCCCCGCCTCCTCCCCCCGGTTTCTTCTTCAGCTCCTCGCACTTCCTGAACTTGCAGATCTGGTGACCCGTCTTCCTGTTGCGGCAGGACGAGCAGACGCCGCAGTTGATGAGCCGCCTGCACGGCCCACACACGCCACACCGCTTCCTCTTCCTCTTCGCCACCGCCCCCGATGACGAAGACGATGACGACGACAGGGCCACACCCCCCGCCGTCACCCCGGACGACGAGGGCGAGGAGGAGGAGGGGCAGGGGGAGGAGTTGGCGTGCTGCTGGCAGTCCGTTAGTGCCCGCTGACCGCCTGTCATCTGGAAGGCGCTGCCAGCGTCTGAGATCCCGCCCCCTGCCGACCCCATCGCCATGACAATGACCCCGGGGGGTAATCCCAGCCCCCCCAGGAAGCTACCGCCCATCACCCCTCCCCCATTGCAGCTCCCACCCTCTGATAGGCCCATCATGTCTGGATGGGCGTGTCCCTGTTTGTTCATGACGCCGCAGTCCGCTCCGCCGCCATAACCGGGGAGAAAGTTCCCGTTGCTAGGCGCCATCGGATGATGATGCGCTGTCCCCTGTGGGACAGGAAGTGAGGAGGCGGTGTGTCCGTGTTTTTCAGCTCCTCCCCCCTCACTGCTCCCCCCACCTCCTCCTTCTCCCCCTCCCGACCCCCCTCCGCCCTGGTGCATGCTGGTACCGTGGGGGTGCGAGGAGGTCATGTGCCCCGGCGTTGCCGAGGGGTGGTGGTGGTGATGGTGGTGATGATGCGTCGGGGCGGCGGCCACGGGTTTGGGCCGCCCCCAGAACATTGCCGCCGGGTGGTTCATGTTCACGTTCATGTTCATGTTGTCGTGGCAACCCCAGGGCGCCGTCGCCATAGCGCCCAGCCTGGCCGCAGCGGGGGGGAAGATCGGAGCGGCGGCTGCCAGACGGGCCGCCAGTTTGGCAGACTGCGGGAAGTTTGTGACGTTCATGTTCATGTTGACGTTGGTCTTATAGAAGCTGGCGATGGACGAACGGTAGCGGTCCATCTCCGTGGTGTAGTCCAACATCGGCGCCAAACTCGACACCTGCAACAAACGGCGTCACCGTTACTGATTAATGATCGTAATCAATAGAAACATGTTGTCCTGCTGGAGGATGAACCTCCTCATAATAATTCAATTAATAGAAATAGACGACTTTGGGTTTATTGTTCGTCTGCGAGTGAGGCTCATGTACGTCCATACGTCACGAGTTTCCAAGCAACCAAACAATAATAATGACTCTGCTGCTCTGAGTCAAAGTTTGTGTTGTTTAAAATGAGTTGATGGTTATAAAACCTGTGAAAGACTGAAGGAAGAAACCAGTTTAAAATCACAGGAAATCCTTCATCGCGTTCATCTACGGTGGACTTCGTAGTGTCAAGCTACCAACGTTAGAACAACAATCAATTGATTTCAGTCGGTTCGACAACAGCCAGGGAAGCTCCTCCATTGACTCTGCTCTCTACCGGCTGTTCCCTCCTGTTTCCTTTGTTATTTGGATTACTTTCAGTTTATGGATGCGTGCAGCAAAGGTCTCCGGAGCACCTCAGACCGAAACAATGGGACAAAAAACTAAATAAAACTCACCAAAGCTTTGTTTCCAACAACCACCAACTCTGGTTTCATCTAAATAAATCCTTAATTCACCAAATTAGAAGCAGAAATGTTTGAAAAAGAGCTGCAATACCCACAACGTGAGACTCAGGTTGTTATTGTCAGTGTCTGACAGCATTATAGAAAGGATCCCTACAGAGATAGACCTTTAGTTTAACCACAAACAGCCGTAATATCACTATCACTCTCCACCAGACTCCAGAGACACAAACACTCATTTTACCTTCAGATCATCAGAACTTCATTAAAGTTGACAGAAACAGAATAAAACTCATTAAAAGAGTCTCTGTTAGTGTTTCCAACAATCACCAACTCTGGTTTGGTGGAAATAAATCCTTAATTCACCGACGTAGATGATAAAAACAGCAGTTTCAGTCGGAGCAGACCGGCTATGGAAACAAACCACAGAGAGGCTGCGATACAACACAGGCAGAGGGAGAGAGACAGGCAGAGGGAGAGAGACAGGCAGAGGGAGAGAGACACCATGTGACTCTGTGTATAGAGAATATAATGTTAGCTTTAAATCT